CATGGCCCTTTTGGGTCTGTGCTGGGAGCCCTCGGGGGGCCTCTTGGCTCCATTATGGGCTGTCTTGGGACTCTCGTGGGCGATCGTGGGGCCCGGCTCGGCCGTTTTGAAGCTTTCTAGGGGGGCCTTTTGGGGCGTCTGGAGGCGATCTCGGGGGCTTTGAAACCGTCTTGAAAGCTGATCAAATCTGAAAGGCGAATCTGCTAAAATTGTAAGTTTTACGAAGGGAATGCGACGATTTGTGTGCTTTGAAGGCCCCTTGGGAAACTTAATTGGGTGCGTTGGGGGTCTTTTGGGCCGTCCTGACGCAATTGGAGTCCCTCTTGGAGCGCTCTTGTGCTGTCTGGGGTCTCCCTTGATCCTTTCTGATGACCCTTCGGATCGCTCTGGGTTTGCTGGCAAGGTGTTTGTGGAGACCCGGAAAGCCGGGTGACCTTTTCCAAGGACGTCCAAGGGAGCCCGAGAACCCCAGTTCCTGGGAGTCCAGTTTTTTTTGGGGGGGGTGAGGGTCCCCCCCCCGGGCTTGTAAACAAATAGGAAAGGAATGCATATACGCGTCTACCTCTCTCTATGTGTGTTTGTGTAGAGCTCGCTCTTGAATGATTAGCGGTACGTTGAATGCCGACATGTGTCTCCGTATGCATATATGCTCAAGTTTTTTAGCGGCGGAGAGAGACCCAGGGCACCGCGTGCTCCCTGGCCCGGCCGCCGCTGTGCGTGGGGCCTCTGTCGGGCCCAACCTGAAGGCAGGGCTCTGGCGCGGGGCGGAGCTCTTCGCGCAGTACCTCGCCTTCTCGCACGGGGTGCCAGCCTGCCCTGACTGCAGGCTCACGTGTCCGGGGGCCAACCTTACGTGCCCTCCCTGCCCGGTGGCCAACCTGAGCTGCCCGGCCCCGGTGGTGCAGCTTGCGTGCCCCCAGCCGCCGCCCGTCAACCTCTCGTGCCCCGCCGTGTACCCCTCGCGGGCCGAGGGCGACGTCCTCGGCTTCGACGGAGCTTCCGTGGCCGTCGGCGGCATCACGGGGGCTCTGGGGGCGACAGCTTCGCGGGCTCGTCGCGGCTGCCGCCGCCGCCGCGCGGCTGTCGAGGAGGACGCGGATTTGGGCGAGCTGGCGCGGGCGCAGGTGGCCCAGGTGAGGCGGCGCCCGCCGCTCCGGCAGGCGTGAGATGGCCGCCCCAGGGGACTGGCTGCTGATCAGGTGCGAGGTTCCAGGGCCCGAGATCTTCCATGAGCGGGTGGTCACGGGTGTATCCGAGACGGAGCCGTCGCTGGTGGCCAACTACACCAACGACGGCGACCACTATGCCGAGGACGTGAGCCAGCAAAACGAGGATATCGCCGAGGTGAGGTGGATAGCTCGGCCTGGAGACACCCCCGCGGGCGTGGACCCGCGACGCGTCTACAGGTTTCGCAGCCCGCCCGACGCGGCCTTGATGGGGCAGCTCAAGCGGGACGGTGCGCTCATGGTCGGGGGCCGCGTCGGGCAGGTGGCGCCAGCCCTGGCGGGGGGCGCCCCCCAGGCCGCGGCGGGGGCACCCGGCGCTGGAGCGGGCGCGCCTCGTGGCCCGGGGATCGCGGGCGTCGTCGGGCGCGCGGGCGCAGCCGCGCCCCCAGTTCCGCTTGGCTCGGTCTGGGTCGCCACGGAGGACTACCACGGATACACCAGGGGGCAGCAGCTCCCCGACCCGCTCCCTGACGGGTCGACCATCGTTGGTGACTGCGCGGTGGTCGAGCTCCCAGCTGGCAAGATCTTGGCCCGCCTCGTCGCCCGCCGCGACCTGGACAGCTACGTGGTCGACGACCTCAGGGTCATGCACGTGAAGTTCAACAACGAGGGGGTGCGGCGGAGGCCTTTCGCCGAAGCGGTCGACAACCAAGTCGCTGACGAACCCGAAGGTGGAGTCATGGTGCAGGGGCCTCGCACCGCCCTGCCCCTCGCGCGCTCCTGGCGCGATGCTGGGCTTTCGGCGGTGACCCACCATGAGAGCTGGGTGAGGTTTGCGAGGGTCCCCGAGGGCGACCGCTCGGTGCACGAGCACGAGATGATATGTCGGGTCATGGAGTCCATGCTGACTGTGGACCAGCTCAACATCGGCGCCTTGCAGTATGCAGAGCTGCTGGCGCGCCGCCTGCAGCTCATCGAGGACGCTCATCGGGGGTCGCCCTCGAACCCTGACTACTCGGCGGCCGACCTGTACACGGGGCTCCAGACTCGGAAGGATGGTGCTTCAGTCGTACCAGCGTTCCAGAAGTACGTCGCGGAGGGCCTCAAGGACGAGGCCGCCATCCAGAAGGAGAAGCGCAAGGCGAAGGAGGAGGCCAAGCTCAGGAAGTCCGGCAAGCATCCCCCAGGCGGAGCTGGGGGCGCAGGGCAATGACTTCCTCAGGCTGGAGTTTCGGGCCGCGCTCCAGCCGGCAACAGGCCCCCGAGCGGGAACGACCCGCCGCAGTTTTGTCCGCTCAGCCAGACCGCCAGCGAGATCTCTTCCCGCTGCCGAGGGTCGAGGTGGCGCCACCCGCGAGGCAGGGGGCTTCGGAGTGCGTCCGCCGCAGGCTGGCCCGTCGTCGCCGACTTCAGGCTGAATGCAATGAGGTGATAGACGGCACCAACTTACTTCATCCTCCGCAGCCGCGGCACGGTCCTGCGAACGCTGCTCAGAGGGAGGCCCATCGGGCCATCTTTTCTCAGGTGAAGGCTGCCCCAAGAGCCAGCGCCATGTATACACGCCGTGAGGCCGCTCGTGAGCTTCTGGCTATCAACCTCTCGTACACAGGCGAGGAGGCTAAGAGTCCGGTGGTGCGGTATGACAGATCTCGAGTAGACATCCCCAGAGTGGGCTCGTCGGTGCCACGGGTCGAGGCTGTGATCGACCCCGTCGGGAGGGAGTATCTGCTGCACTTCGAGGCGCGCATGCTGCGCTCTGCTGATGAGTGGGGCAGGATCGTGGAGACCGAGCCTCCCATCACCCCTTACATGGACGAGTACCTGCGGAAGCATGACGACGCCTACGTGACGTTCGTGAGCGACCTCGTGTCCGCGGGTATGGTCTCCTATACCTTCAACCCTAAGGACTTGGTGACGCCGTTCTTTGTCAGCAAGAAGAACGGCCAGCAGCGCTTGGCGCGGGGCGCCCGCATCCCCAGCAGGCGCTTCAAGCACGCGCCGCCGCAGAGCATGGGCACCTCGGCGGCCTACGGCAGGGTCTGCCTGCAGGACGACGTCGACGAGACTGGCAGCTTCAAGGAGACGTTGTACTGCGCACAGGCCGACATCCGCAACTACTTCTACGCACTCGGTCTGAGGGAGGAGCTCGGTCTGTTCTTCTCGCTCCCGCCGGTGCCCGAGGCTATGTTGTCACTGTGGGGGTGCAGCGCGGTCGACTCGCCCCAGGTGGAGCGCGGGGGTTGGGTCTGGCCCTTCCTCTCCGTGGTTCCGATGGGATGGAACTGGGCCTTCTGGCTGGGGCAGCGCTGCAACGTCTTTCGATGCCTGCAGGCTGCCTCGGTGGGTCCTGAGCGCCTGCTCACGGACCATGGTCCAGTCCCGTCCCTGGGGGGGGGGTAGGCCGTGTCTGCCCCCCTTATTGTGATAACATAAACGTGGTGGGGACAGACCCGCACCAGTGTGACAAGATGTTAGACGATATAATTTCCAGCTGGACTTCCCTCGGCGTTGAGATCCACGAGGTCGTACGAGCCTCGTCTACCTTCTCCAGCTTGGGCCGTCTCGTCGACGGGGTGCAGGGGATGGTCTTCTCACGCACAGAGCGTACTGATAGGCTCAGGCAGGCTTGTCTTTGGCTTGAGCGGAGGCCGAGGGTCACAGGCAAGGAGATCGAACGTTTCGTCGGACACGTCATTGATCACATCATGCTTCGGAGAGAGTTGTTATGAATTTTGAGGGCACTCTATGACTTCATCAGAGAGCATTACACAGAGAGGAGACGCCTGTGGCCCTCGGCAGCGGCGGAAGTTGCCCAGTGCCGGTCTTTGCTCAGCGTCATGTTCAGTAATTTGCGAATGCCATGGAGCCCGACTGTCGTCGCCAGTGATGCGTGCCTTTCCGGGATGGCCGTGGCAACAACCAACCTCCCTGTCTCCATCGTCTCGTCCATCGGGAGAGTGAGTGAGAGGTGGCGGTACCGAGTGCCGACGGCCGTGTCTGCGAGGAAGTCTGCTCTTGCGTCCAGCTTCGGGGCGGGCTCCAACGAGGACGCGGACGGGGACCCGTGCGAGGCCATCTTCGGGGAGGGCTCCAACGAGGACGCCTACGGGGACCCGCGCGAGGCTATCGTCAGGGAGGGCTCCGAGGGGCCCCACGGCTATGTCAACATGGATGTCTTCGGGGATGTCAACACTGTCAAGAGCGTCGAGTACCCCCTAGGCTCAGAGGACCCCTGGGAGCTCAATCCGGACTTCGCCGAGGTTCCACACAGCGTGCTCAGCGAGGAGGCCTGGACCGAAGTGTTCGCGGCCCCGTTCCACGTATCGGAAAGCATCACGGTCTTGGAGGGGAGGGCCAGCAACGCGGCCTCTAGGCACATCCTAAGGTCCACGAGGGCCTTCAACAAGCGGCACCTGAAGCTCGGGGACAATCTGGGGACCGTCTTGGCGCTGTCTCGGGGCAGGTGCTCAGCCTTTGGCCTGCTCCTGTGCTGCCGCCGAGAGGCAGCCTACTCCGTCGCAGCCAATGTTCGATTCGAGAATCGCTGGGTCCCGTCTGAGCTGAACCACTCGGACAAGGGCTCACGCCGGTGGGAGCGCCCGCATGGAGACCTCGCGGCTGCGCCGCGCTTCCGCGCGCCGAGTCGCCCAGGCTCGGGCTGCGCTCCGCAAGGAGCAGCTGCGGGGGCGGCCTTTCGCGGGGAGTTCCCGCGAGGAGCGATCGGCGAGGCGGGCGGCGGCCACAGGGACCTTCCGGCTGGTGCCCGCGGGCTCGCAGTCGTTCCTGGAGACCAACGCCGTGGCTCCCGACACCCAGAAGACCTACGCGTAGTGCATGGTCGAGCTCAGGCAGTTTGTTGCCGTGAACGGGCTCTCGCTCGACGCCCCCGCGGCGGCCGACCTGGCGCTGACGAACTGCGCCAACTTCGCCTGGGCCGAGGGTCTCGACAAGGGCGCGGTCCAGCGGGTCTACGCGGCGTTCGTCTCGGAGCACCCCGACTTTTCCCGGCGCGGTGGGCTGCGCCTCCCGCGGCTGTCGCGGGCGCTGCAGGGATGGGAGCGGCTCGACCCAGGAGTCGCACGCCCCCCGATCCCTTGGGTGGTGACTGCTCTGATTGCCCAGGTCATGATCACGACCCTCAAGCAACCAGCGGCCGCCCTGATGGTGCTCACCATGTTCCTGGCCTACCTGCGCCCCTCCGAGGCGGAAGGCCTTCTGGAGCAGGACCTGGTGCCGCCCACGACGTCGTCGCCTTTCTTCGCCGTGAACCTGCACCCCAGCGACCGCGGCGAGGTGAGCAAGGTCAGGCTGTCCGACGAGTCCCTCCTGCTGGACTCCACGGAGGCGCTGTGGCTCGGGGAGGCGCTCCAGAGCTTGAAGGCGGGGCTGCCCTCTCGGCCGCTCTTCGACCTGACGGTGCTGCAGCTGCGGGGCGTCTGGGCCGCCGCGCTCCGCGCCCTGGGCATCCCCGACAGGTTCGTGCTGTGCCAGCTCCGGCACGGGGGCCCCTCCCACGACCGGCTCCGGCGGCAGCGCTCGCTGCCCGAGATCAAGGAGCGCGGAAGGTGGGCCTCCGACAAGAGCGTCAGGCGCTACGAGGCCCACGCCCTCGTCCAGCAGCAGGAGGCCTCGCTGCCCCCCGCGCTGCTCGGGCGGGCACGGGAGGCGCCAGGCCAGCTCGAAGGGCTGGTGTTGACGTTCCTCGGGCTGCGCGGGTGGCGCAGGCGGCCCGCCAGCGGCCCCGCGGGCCTGCCGAGCAAGGCCCTCCGCGCCGCTTCGGGCCGCCGCCCGGGCTCAGCTCAGGGATCCCGCCCTTCGCCGAGCTCATGTGCGGGTCCGCTCACCTCGCGGCCGCCGTCGGCGAGTGCGGGCTTGCTGCCGGGGGCTGGGGCTACATCGACGGGGCTGCGGCCGACCTCGAGGTCCCCGCAGTGATCGAGGGCTTCCGGCAGCGCATCCGCCAGCGTCGACTGTGCGGCCTGCACTTCGGCCTGGATTGCAAGACTTGGTCGAGGGCCAGAAAGAATGACGGCCTTGGGCCGCCGCCGCTGCGTAGTGACCATCATATTTTTGGCCTGCCTGCTTTCGCTCCCGCCGATCAGAGGAAGATAGACAGCGCAAATGTAATTTTCAGAAACATCCTAAGCCTGGTCGAGGAGGCTGTCGCCGCCAACCTTTTCGTGCTGATTGAAAATCCTGCCTCGTCTAGGCTCTGGATGACGCCGCAATTGCTTGACTTGGCTAATGCATACAAGGCAAAGTTCCATCGTGTGGATTACTGCCAGTGCAACGTGCCGTGGCGGAAAGCCACGATCTTTCTGACCTTTAACTTGCCAGAATTAGATGATGTTCTGGTCACATGTTCAGGAACACAAGCTCGCTGTAGTGCCTCCGGGAAAAAACGCATTACCCTGCGAGGTAAGGACTCCCGGGGAAATTTCTGGACGTCCCGCGCCTGCCCGTATCCGCCCGCCCCTTGTACCGTGCTGGCGAAAGCGATCAACCAGCGGGCCAATGCACTATTTGGGGGTGGGTAGGGGCTTCAGTTTGGAGGCAGCGGAGCTGCTAGCGTCTCGTGCCGCCTGCCGAGCAGGCGATCCCGATTCAGAGCTTTTGAAGTGGTCATAAGCAGTTGGCCCCGGCAAAATGTAATGAGCATCGTCGTCATTTTGGCATGAGCAGTAAAGCGTGAATCATGTGTAGAACTCGCTCTTGAATGATTAGCGGTACGTTGAATGCCGACATGTGTCTCCGTATGCATATATGCTCAAGTTTTTTAGCGGCCCCACCGTCCTTCCCCTTTCTCCTCCTTCCTCTTCTTCCCTCTAGGGGCTTCAGTTTGGAGGCAGCGGAGCTGCTAGCGTCTCGTGCCGCCTGCCGAGCAGGCGATCCCGATTCAGAGCTTTTGAAGTGGTCATAAGCAGTTGGCCCCGGCAAAATGTAATGAGCATCGTCGTCGTTTTGGCATGAACAATAAAGCGCGAATCATATATATATGTATACACACAACATCTACACACATATATATATATATATATATATATATATATATATTCACATGTTCACATATATCTAGACATGCATAAATATACACATAACTATATCCCTCTATATGTACACCTATACAGATACTTATCCATATATATATATATCTACCAGCCATCAGGACAAACATCGGGACAACCATCGACAACCATCGGGGCAACTATCGGGACAACCATCGAGACAGTCATCGGTGCAACCATCGGGACAACCATCGGGACAACCATCAGGACAACATGTAACAATATCTATATACCTATTGATCGATCTATCTATCTACCTATCTGCCTATCTATCTACCAGCCATCGGACAACCATCTGGACAACCATCGGGACAACCATCGCGACAACCATTCGGACAACCATCGGGACAACCATTAGGACAACCATCGGGACAACCATCGGGACAACCATCAGGACAACCATCGGGACAACCATCGGGACAATCATCGGGACAACGATCGGGACATCCATCTGGACAACCATCGGGGCGATCTTCGGGACAACCATCGGGACAACCACAACCATCGGGACAACCGCCGGGACAACCGCCAGGACAACTGGTGGCCACGCCCAGCGCTCGGGGGGCGGCCCTTTTGGCAATATATGGTCTCTACTACGGATGGAACTCGCGCAGCTTCGCATCGCCCGCACGCACGACACGAACCGAAACCGAAACGGATTTACCGGTTGGGGTGCCTTGCGGTCCAACCCTCTAACCTCCGATCAGTTTCCTGCGCGTCTCGCTGTGAGTGTCTGAGTGGCAGAGTCTTAGCCTCAAGTCGGGCCTGTCCCTCTACAGGAGGAAAATCCAAAAATAGTCAAACAATAAAGTGGGGACGATTTTTATAGTATTTTGTTTACTATTTTGGGCCATTTTTTTGAATCGTTTTTATTTGTCATCTAAATCCGCCTGTACGGGGTCAGGCCCGACCTAAACTTAGCCTGTGGCGCTGAGCGTTCCTTGGCGGTTCCCCTGTGAGCGCCCGAGTGATATGCTTGCTATGTTGCTGTGGTCATGGGGCTCTCAAGAGAAGGGAGTCGGGGGTGCCACAGCCCGCGTTTCGTTTGAGGCCTCTCCACAATCTGGCCGCGAACGGGCAAGAGCAACGCTCCCCGGCGGCTCCCCCGTGCGGTGCCCAAGTGCTTTGGATTTGAGTCTGAGTGGTCTGAGCGCGATGAGTCTGAGTGTGGACGAGTCTAAATGTGAATGGGCTTGGTGCTCCTCGGGGCGTGGTTGATTCTGAGTGTGAGTGAATATGAGTATGAGGGAGTCCGAGCGTCAGTGGATCTGAACGCGTGTGGTCGGAGTGCGAGTGCATGAGTGTGGGTGAGTCTGAGTGTGGGTGAGTCTGAGTGCGACTGATCAGTTTGTGACTGATTTGTGTGCGTGAGTCTGCGTATGACTAATCTGATCCTGCGTGGATCTGAATGTGGGTCGGGGGAAGCAGGCCTGACGGAAGGAAGGGGAGGAAGTAGGGAGGTGTGGGGCGAACCGTCTGCGAGATCCCCACAATCTGCGTGCTCTACTCCTGCTAAATCGCAGTCGTCATGAGGTTTTCACACAACAAGTAGGGGGGGGGGGGGCAAAGCCAGCAAATTGCTGCCTGAGGCAGTCTCACAATATGTACGCGAACGGGCCAGTGTCAGCCCCCTTGGCGCCAACAGTGCCACTCGTTCTATGTCGCAATGCGCATGAGGCCCTCGACAGAGATGAGCCTGATCAGCCAAGACTTCAAGCAGCTTTGAGACATCCCCACGATCTGGGCGCGAACGGGCCAGTTTCATACCCCCAGGTGCTCCCCCCACCCACGGGGTGCTCAAGTACCACGTCTGCTACATCGCTGTGATCGATGGGGTCTCCAAGGAGAGAGAGAGAGAGAGAGAGAGAGAGCCCGCATGAGCCAAACACGCAAATCGCCAGAGGCATCCCCACAACCTGCGCTCTAGCGGGCCAGTGTCATACTCCCTGACGGTTTCCCTTTGTGGTGCCCACGTGCCACGCCTGCTGTATCGCGGTGTCCAAGGACCTTTAGCAGATGAAGGAGGAGGAGGAGGAGGAGGAAGAGGAAGAGGAGGAGGAGCAGGAGGAGGAGGAGGAAGAGGGGAGAGGAGGAAGAAAAAAAAGAAGAAGGAGAAGGAGGCGTCGTCAAAAGAGATGAGTCTGGGCAGCCGAACAGGCAAGGCGCCTGAAATATCCACCCAATCCGTGCGCGAACGGGCCAGAGTCATACCCTTTGGCGCCCAGCCCCCCCTTCCCCCAATGGGTGCCCACGTGCCCCGCGTGCCATATCGCGATGAGCACGAGGCTCTCAACAGAGTCGAGTCTGATCCGCCAAGCACGCACATCGCTTTGGGACATCCCCGCGATCTGGGTGCGAACGGGCCAGTGTCAAGCCCTTCACCCCCCCACCCTGGGGTGCCCAAGTGCCACGCTTGCTATACCGCTGTGGTCGACTGGCTCACAGCAGAGATGAGCCCGATGAGCCGAATCGCAAACCGCCTGAGACATCACCACACTCTGGCCGCGAAGGGGCACGTGTCATACCCCCTGGCGGATCCTCCCTGGAGTGCCCAAATGTTACGCCTATGAGTCCCGTCAGGAAACAACACAGACACACCGCCGCCGACATTCTCCGACCGCGAGCGGGCAAGTGTCATACCCCCTTGCGGCTCCTCCTTGGAGTGGCCAGATGCCACGCCAGCTTTCGCGCGGTGATCGCTGGTATGACATAAGGGATGAGTCTGATCAGCCAAACACGTAAAGCGCTTCAGACATCCCCACAATCTGGCTGCGAACGGATAACTGTGATCTCCCCCCTGGCGGCTCCTCCTTGGGTGGCCAAGCGCTGCGTTTGCTATATCGCGGTCGTCGATGGGCTATCAGAAGAAATAGCCCTAATGAGCCAAACGTGCAAATTGCGTAAGACATCCCTACAAACTGGCTGCGAACGGGCCCGTGTCATCCCCCCTGGCGGCTCCTCCTTGGGGTGCCCGCCAAGTGCCACGTTTGCTATATCGCGGTGGTCGATGGGCTCTCAAAAGAGACAGCCCTGATGAGCCAATCACGCAAACCGCCTGAGACATCCCCGCAATCTGGCTGCGAGCGGGCAAGTTTCACACCTTCTGGCGGCTCCTCCTTTGAGCGCCCCATTGCAAGGCCTGCTTTTCTGCGGTGATCAGTGGGCTCTCAGAAGAGATGAGCTTGATCAGCCAAAGACGTAAACCGCTTGAGACATCCCCACAGTCTGGCCGCGTACGGGCTAGTGCCACATCCCCTTGCGGCTCCTCCTTTTGGTGCCCAGGTGCCCTGCCTGCCCTATCGCGGTGACCACGGGGCTCTCGACAGAGATTGTGTGAGTGCGTCAACGTGCGTGAGTCTGAGCTGGTCTCAGTGTGAGTAGATCTATCTATGTGCACGATTCTGAGTGTGCGTCTGAGTGTAAGTATGACTATGTTGGGTCTGGGCGTCGTGTATGTTTGCGACCGGGTCCGACTGTGAGTGAGTCTGAGTATGAGTGGGTCCGAGAATGGGTGAGTTTTGGTGTGTGAGTCTGTGTGCTGAGTACGGCTAAGGCGAACATGAGTGCATACGAATGCGTGAGTCAGGGCATGAGTGACCTGAGAAGAGGCAGGCGGGACGAGACGAGGAAGGGAGGCGGCGGCATCGCACGAATAACTTCACTCGGGATCTGGGGAATCTGGTCTACCATGAATTTGAGGAGAAGGTTCGGTCTCTGGGCTGTTCCGCAGATCCAGATCAGGGAACCCATTTGCGGCCGAGGCTTGCCGTGGCCAGAGGAGCCCGTTCGCTCCCTACCCAGCGTCCCTCATGGTAGCGCGATGGCCGCATGCGGTTCCACACCCGTTCCAGTGCACCCCGCACCCGTGTCGTGGCCCCATAGGGAGCTCCACCGAAGGCCCCAGGGGGCAGCGCCCGCACCTTCAAGTTTGGCACACCCCGCACACGTTTCGCGGCCCGGCCCCACTGACGGCCTTAGCGTCGGCGCCCGCATGCGGTTCCACCCCCCATTCCGGCGAGCCCCTGGCACGTTTCGTGGCCCCATAGGGCCATAGGGGGCTCCACCGAAGGCCCCAGTGCACTAGCGCCCGCATGTGATTCCGCGTCCCATTTCGGCGAACCCCTCGAACGGTTCGTGGCGCTATAGGGAGCTCAACCTCAGGCCCCAGTGGCCGCGCCCGCATGCGGTTTCACCCCCCAATTCGGCAACCCTCTCACGTTTCGTGGCCCCACAGGGTGCTCCACCGAAGGCCCCAGTGGCCCCTGTTGTTGGCCCCTCTCCTTCATATCATTTTCTTCGCGAAGGCCCCAGTGTCAGCGCCCGCATGGCGGCCACGCCTCATTTCGGCACACCCTTCACGCGCCTAGTGGCCCCATGAGGGGATCCACCGAAGGCGATACTCGCAACGACGGGACTCACAACTGCATATGGCTGGGTCCTTCGACAAGCTCATTCTTTTTCTACCATTCTTGTGATGACGGTAATCCCTTTTTTTCTTCGCCCCCCGCCCTCCCTTCTCCCATCCCTCCTCCCTTCTTCCTTCTCCCTTCTCCTCGCTCACCCTGCTCTCCCCGTGCTCCTCCCGCCCTCCTCCCAGCCTGCCCGCCCCCCGAGGAGCAGGAGCGGCGCGCCAAGATCGCCAACGACCGGCTGCGGCTGATGCGGGGCAAGGTCATGCACGACCTGGAGAACCAGAAGACGCGCGTCCGGACCCTGTTCCTGCGGCATCTTCCCGAGCTCGGCAACGTGGACGTGTCGGAGTTCACCGATGGCATGAGCAAGTTCAATCCGGCGGACTTCTACGATGCCGACATGGAGAAGGAGGTACAGAGCGCCTGCGACGCCTTGAAGCACGACTTTGATCTGGAGAGGTCAAAACTGCTCAACGACATAGATGAACTGACCAAATCGATGGAGGGGCTGAAAGAGAAGCTCTTCCTGGAAACCAGGAAGTCAACCACGCTGCAGGTGAATCGGCAATACAATTATATACCATGCGTACCCGCCTCGTCCCCTTTTTCCCTTATCCCGCTTCCCCTCCCTTCCCTCCTTCATTTCCTGTTCTCCCTCTGTCCATCCGTCTCCTCCTCCTCCTTCTCCTTTCTCCTCCTCTTTCTCTTCCCCGTCGCCCCCCTCCTCATCCGTCCACTCTGTCTCTTCCGTTGCTTCAACCACCTCCATCCTCTTCGTCTCCTCCGTCCCTGCTTCTCCGTTTCGTCCTCCTGCTGCGCCTGCCGTCGAAGGCCAAGCTGGACCAGGCTTCCAAGGTGCCGTCGCCCAAGGCGTCGTCACCCAAGTCCGATCCCACCAGCACGGACGTCTTGACGGCGAAGGCCGCGATTGATGCCGCGCAGGCGGCGAATGCCGCGGTGAACCTGCCGAGGAGCCTGAGCGAGGAAGTTGACGGTGACTACGGCGATCACTTCGACAACGACGACGACGGCTGCGACGACGATTATGATGACGATGACGATGGAGATGAGGATACCGATGACGATTACGACGACAGCAACGTCGACGACGACGATGATGATGATGATGACGATGATGATGATGATGCTGACGACGATGATGATGATGCTGATGATGGCGATGGATGATGTTGATGCTACTTATGATCATGATGTTGATGCTGATTCTGATGATGCTTATGATGCTGCTGCGGATGCTGACGATGATGACGATGATGCCAATGATGATGACGATGATGCTGATGACGATGATGAGGATGCTGCTGCTGATGATGATGAATCTGATGATGAGGATGGTGATGATGATGTTGATGATGATGCTGATGACGCTGATGATGATCATCATCATGATGGAAGCAATCCTGATGCTGATGATGATGCTGCTGATGATGGTGCCGCTGTTGCTGCTGATGCTGATGCTGATGGTGCTGATGAGGGCGACGATGCTGATGCTGCTGCTGAAGATGCTGATGATGTTGATTATGATGATGATCATGATGCTGCTGCTACTGCTGCTGCTGATGATGATGCCGATGATGATGACGACGATGACGATGCTGATTCTGATGCTACTGATAATCACAGTGGTGATAATGATGACGAGGTTAATTCTGCTGTTGTTGATGATGCTGGTGGTGCTGCTGCTGATGATGGTGATTGCAGTGATGGCCGTGGCGATGACGTTGACGACGACGGCGACGACGATGGCGATGTTGATGATGATGGTGATGCTGCTGATGACGCTGATGATGTCGATGATGCTGATGATGCTGATAGTGAGGATGATATTGAGGATTCTTATGATGACGCTGATGCTGATGCTGATGCTGATGCTGCGGCTGCTGCTGATGACGATGACGCTGATGATGAGGAGAATGATAACGAGGATTCTTATGGTGACGCTGATGACTATGATGATGACGATGACTGCGATGATGATGCTGATGATGATGATGATGCTGATGCTGCTGCTGATGATGAAGATGCTGATGCTGATGCTGATAACGATGATGATGCTGATGCTGCTGCTGACGATGATGATGATGATGATGATGCTGCTGATGATGATGATGATGATGATGATGCTGATGATGATGATGGCCAGATCAGATCAGAGCCCATGAAGTCCTCCCGGGTGCACGCTACTGAACCCCAGGAACTTTAGAACTCTGGGGGGCTACAACGCAGCCAGCTGCTTAATTACTTCCAGACTGGATACGGCCACACTCTACACAGAGGTGGCACTGGCCCCTAGGCTGAGGAGGCCCCCCGCTAGGCGCGCAGCTGGGGATTGGAGCTCTCAGCACTCAGGCGCCATATGCTCCTTTCCTTTCACGACCCGTCCCCCTCCCCTGACTCCCGCCCCGACCCTTTCCTCTGGATGGTTGCTGACTTGGCAGCACAATGACGGGCGTGCTCGGCATGTCAGAAGCTCCATCGCCCTGACCTTTACGCGTGCCAGAAACAGCTCTATCAACAACTTACTGTGAAACCACTCCTCTCGCCAACAAAGCTGCTAATCGCTCTGATGATGAGGAGGGCGATGCTGATGCTTATGATGATGATGATGATGGCGATGCTGTTGATGACGATGATGGTGGTGGTGATGCCGCTGCTGCTGATGATACTGACGACGGTGATGATGAGGACGAGGGTGATGATGTCGATGATGATGACGCTGATGATGCTGTTGCTGATGATGATGAGGTGATGATGATGATGGTGATGCCGATGCTGCTGCTGATACTGATGCTGATGATGATGCCGATGCTGCTGGCGATGGTGGTGATGACGTATTGATGATGATGCTGATGGTGCCGATGTTGATGATGACGATGCTGCTGATGATGATGCTGGCGGTGATGTTGTTGATGATGGTGATGATGAGGTTGACGCTGCTGATGCTGCTGATGATGATGAGGTTGAAGATGACGATGATGATGCTGATGATGCTGATGCTGATGATGCTGATGGTGATGACGATGACGATGATCCTGATGCTGCTGATGATGATGTTACTGCTGCTGCTGATGATGATGATGATGCTGATGATGATGATGATGCTGATGCTGATGCTGATGCTGAGGCTGGTGCGTGTGACGAGGATGATGGCGAGGGGGTGAGGAGCAGGAGGAGGATGACGAGGACGAGGGCACGAGGGGCGCAGGTAATGGTGGGCGGGAGGAGGGGGGACGCATTTGAGGATGAGCATGAGGGAGGATGTGGAGGAGGGAGACAAGGGGCTGAGGTCGAATACGAGGAGACATATGAAGAGAGGGGGGAATGAGGAAGAGAAGGCTCAGTTTGCATGCCGCAGGGATACGTGAGTAGGATCGACAACGAGGAGTCGCTGTAACGAGTGAGGAGGAGGCGGAGGAGGAGGAAGAGGAGCAGGAGGAGTAGGAAGAAGACGAATAAGAAGAAGAAGAAGAAGAAGAAGAAGAAGAAGATGAAGAGGAGCAGAAGCAGGAAGGTGTGGATTATGATGCTGCTGATGATGAGGAGGAGGATGAAGAGGAGGAGGCTGAGGAGGAGGAGGAGGAGCAGGAGCAGGAAGATGAGGAGGAGGAGGTCCAGGAGTAGGCAGAGGGACAGGACGAGGGACGGACTTGCCGAGGAGCGAACGGGCTTCGCAGAGCAAGGAGGCGATCGCGCAGGCGTTGAAAGAGAAGGAGCAACTGGAGGCCTCACTCTCCTCCCTTTTTCCTCCCCTCCTCCCTCCGCCGTCGTCGTCGTCGTTGTCGTCGTTGTCGTCGTCGTCGTCGTCGTCCTCCTACTCCTCTTCTGGAGACGACCCTGCTGGTCGAGATCGGGGCGCTCAAGGACCTCGTGGTGAAGCAGAGTAGCTGGATGGACTCCATGAAAGGGATCCCCGAGTGCGACGCCATCAAGAGTATGCTGAGCGAAGTCAATGCGAAGATTGGCGACATGACCAACGTGGTACCCATGAGCAAGAAGCTTAATACTTTGATCCGGATGAAGATGAGGAGGGAGGAGGGCGGAGGGAGGGGAAGGCCCGGCTCGACCCTTCCACTGATCCGGCCGATTCGTCGATTGATTTGGGTCAGGGTGGCCAAATCGGGGAACTCAGACCAGCGCAGAGAGATCCGCGCTCACGCACGGACCTGGCCCGCTGACCCTGGTCAGGGTTCATCGGAAGCGTCCAAGAGGTGGGTGATGAACTATATGCCTAGATGAAGAGGAGGATGAGGAGGAGGAGGAAGAAGAAGACAAAGAAGAAGAAGAGGAGGAGGAGGAGGTGGTGGAAGCGGGATGCCTTTCCCGCGTGGAAATAGGATGTGCGTGTGTGTCAGTGGATATGTATCATGGTCGGGACCATGAGATCTCCCTAATTCGAAACGCTTCGCGTATCCCGTCCAGAATGAGTCCCAGGGGTGGAGGTGATGAGGGAAGCGGGGGAGCATGCAGAAGAACAAAGGGCGGGGTAAGCCGCCATATGCCCCAAGAGGGGGAGGATGTAGGAGGAGTCGTCGTCGTGGGAGTAGGAGGGGGAAGAGAAGAAACAGGAGGAGGAGCAGGAGGAGGAGGGGAGGAGGAGGAGGAGGAAGATGAGGAGGAGGAGATGGAGGAGGGCGAGGACGTGGAGGACGAGAAGGAGGAGAAGGAGAAGAAGGAGGAGGAGGAAGAGGAGAGGGAGGGGGAGGAGGGAGGATGAAGAACAAGAGGAGGAGGAGGAGGACAATGTCGAGCTTGGGAGCCTCTTGGGCCGTCTCTGGGGCCTCTTGGCGGTCCCGGGGCCTCTTGCGTATCTCGGGGGCACTCTTGGGGCCTCTTGGGGGTCTCTTGGGAGCCTTGGCGGCCTCTTGGGCGCCTCTTGGGGCCTCTTGGGGCCCTCTTGGGGCGCTCTTGGGAGCCTTCAGGGCGCTCTTGGGGCCATGTTGGAGGAGATCTATCAAAGAAGAAGGGGGGTGTCAATTAGCGCTGCCCCTTTAGAGTGCCTCGAATCGCCTCTTGGGCCCCAAAAGGGGCCAACATCCGTCCAAAACCAATGGAAATCAATGCTTTTTTGCTTTCTCGCTTTTTCGCTCTTGGAGCCGTCTTGGGCCATCTTGGACGCCCCAACGACCCGCAGAACCCTCCGTCCAGGTCCAGGGGAGGGCGTATGGGGGAGGGGTAAACCCCTCCCCGAAGGGGAAGAAGGGGGTTGGAAGAGGAAGCTCGCTAGACCACCGGCGCCCAGAGGGCTGGTGGGATTTCGTGCCCGTCTCCTTTCACAGATTGCGCTCCCTGGCCCCCGTCTCGCCTGCGCACCCGCCTCGGGCCATGCGGCGCCAGCCCCTCCCCTGCCGCGGCGGACCCGGGTCGAGGCTGGGCCCGGGGGCCAAGCGTGGATCGGCGGGCGGGTCCGAGCCTGAGGCAACAAGAGCCTCGATGCCGAGTCGCAGGCGCGCCTTCGGGCGAAGACCGTGGCCAACGACGTGCTCATCCTGCGCAAGGCGGGCGACGACGCCCGCGCGGAGATGGACGCGCTGAAGGCGCAGCTCGAGGAGAGCCAGGAGCACGCCGCCGAGCTGGAGAGGCAGGCGGAGGAGATGCGGGGCGAGGTGGACGAGCTCAGGGCGCAGGGCGACGCGCACCAGGCGCGCGCCCAGGATCGGCACCACCCAAGCAGACTTGCAATATATATATATATATATATATATATATATATGTGTAGATATATGTATATATATATGCATATGCATATGTATATGTATATGTATATGTATATGTATATGTATATATATATATATATATATGTATGTCGCACCCCCCCTATGATCTACCTCACGCCTCTTTGCGGCATCTCGTTCGTCTGTTAATCTTTCGGATGTAATTGCACGCAGCTTTGCTTTCGGAGACAATCGAGGGAGCATGAAGGCGGGAGGGTTGAGGAGCTGGAGAGCGGGAGAGCGGGAGAGCGAGAGAGCGGGAGAGCGGGAGAGCGGGAGAGCGGGAGAGCGGGAGAGCGGGAGAGCGGGAGAGTGGGAGAGCGGGAGAGCGGGAGAGCGGGAGAGCGGGAGAGCGGGAGAGCTATGAAGCAAATCCCGCATGCTCCCCCCGAGCATGCGGGATTCGCTTCATGGGGCCGCGGCCTCTCCCCTATGAAGCAAATCCCGCATGCTCCTGGGGAGCATGCGGGATTCTCTTCATGGGGCCGCGGCCGCCCTGCTATGAAGCAAATCCCGCATGCTCCGCTCTCTCGCTCTTCCGCTCTCCCGCTCTCCCGCTCTCCCGCTCTCCCGCTCTCCCGCTCCCCCGCTCTCCCGCTCTCCCGCTCTCCCGCTCTCCCGCTCTCCCGCTCTCCCGCTCTCCCGCTCTCCCGCTCTCCCGCTCTCCCGATCTCCTGCCAACTTCTCCAGTCGCCGATTGGACGAGGAAACCCTTCCCGGTCGCCGATGGGCGGCGGGAGAGCGGGAGAGCGGGGCAGCGGGAAGCGGGAGAGCGGGCAGCGGGAGAGCGGGAGAGCGGGAGAGCGGGAGAGCGGGAGAGCGGGAGAGCGGGAGAGCGGAGAGCGGGAGAGGGAGAGCGGGAGAGCGGAGAGAGCGCGGAGAGCGGGAGAGCGGGAGAGCGGGAGAGCGGGAGAGCGGGAGAGCGGGAGAGCGGGAGAGCGGGAGAGCGGAGGGCGAGAGTGCGGGACAGGAGAGCGGGAGAGCGGGAGCGGGAGAGAGCGGGAGAGCGGGAGAGCGGGAGAGCGGGAGAGAGCGGGAGAGCGGGAGAGCGGGAGAGCGGGAGAGCGGGAGAGCGGGAGGAGCGGGAGAGCGGGAGAGCGGGAGAGCGGGAGAGCGGGAGAGCGGGAGAACGGGAGAGCGGGCGAGCGGGAGGGCGGGAGAGCGGGAGAGCGGGAGAGCGAGAAAACGGCCACCCGTGCCCGGGTGCGGGTGACGGGTGACGGACTCCCGCTCTCCCGCTCTCCCGCTCCCGCTCTCCCGCTCTCCCGCTCTCCCGCTCTCCCGCTCTCCCGCTCTCCCGCTCTCCCGCTCTCCCGCTCTCCCGCTCTCCCGCTCTCTCCCGCTCTCCCGCTCTCCCGCTCTCCCGCTCTCCCGCTCTCCCGCTCTCCCGCTCTCCCGCTCTCCCGCTCTCCCGCTCTCCCGCTCTCCCGCCTCCCGCTCTCCCGCTCTCCCGCTCTCCCGCTCTCCCGCTCTCCCGCTCTCCCGCTCTCCCGCTCTCCCGCTCTCCCGCTCTCCCGCTCTCCCGCTCTCCCGCTCTCCCGCTCTCCCGCTCTCCCGCTCTCCCGCTCTCCCGCTCTCCCGCTCTCCCGCTCTCCCGCTCTCCCCCTCTCCCGCTCTCCCGCCCTCCCGCTCTCCCGCTCTCTCGCTGTCCCGCTCTCCCGCTCTCCCGCTGTCCCGCTCTCCCGCCCCCCCGCTCTCCCGCTCTCCCGCTCTCCCGGCCCTTGACTCTCCCATTCTCCTGTTCTGCCGCTCAGGGCCCGAAGTCATGCGGAGGAGGAGGTGGAGATGGAGGAGGAGGAGGATGAGGAGGCGGAGAGGATGGAGGTCGGAGGAGGAGGAAATGTATGAGGAAGGGCAAGGAGGAAGAGGTAGAGGAGGAGGATGAGGATGAGAGGAGGAGGAGGAGGAGCAGGATGAGGAGATGAGGATGAGGAGAAGCAGGAGGAGCAGGAAGAGGAGGATGAGGAGGAGGACGAAGACGAGGACGATGAAGCAGAGGAGGCGGATGAGAATGATGAGAAGCAGGAGTCTGATGATCTGGAGAGGAGGAGGCGCAGGAGGAGTTGGAGGCATATGAAACGAAGGAGTCGGAGGATAATGAGGAAGAGAGGAGGAGGAGGAGTTGGTAGAGGAGGAGGTGCAGGAGGAGGAGGATGAGGAGGAGGAGGCGGATGAGGAGGGGGCGGAATAGGAGGGGGCGGAATAGGAATCAGGAGGAGGAGGAGGAGGAGCAGCAGCAGGGGTGAGGAGGAGGAGCAGGAGGTGGGGTGAGGATGAGGAGGAGGAGGACCATCAGCAGAAGGAGGAGGGAATGGTATAATAAGTTTTCATTGACTGTAATACTCCTCATCATCCTTCCCATCCTCTCCTTGCCTCATCCCCACTTCCATCCTTCTCTTCAAATCCTAGTTCAGCCTTCTACTTACGCTGCTGTCCTATGCTTATGATGATGATGACGTGTTGATGATGATGATGGTGCCGATGGTGATGGTGGCGATGATGACGATTACAATTGTCCCGATGCCATGGGGATGATGATGGTGACGATGGCGATCGTGGCGATGAGAATGACGATGATGATGACGGTGACGATGGCGATGACGATGACGCTGACGATGACGACGGTGAAGATGGTGACGATACTGGTGCTGATGATGATGATGATGATGACTGCGGTGGAATCTGGGCCCGGGCTACCGCAGACTGCACTGCCCTCCCGTTCTCCCGCTCTCCTTGTCTCCTGCAGAGAGAGAGGGAGAGAGAGAGGGAGAGAGAGACACACCAGCGCCAGGAAGAGTCACGCGTGATCCCCAGATCAGGAGATGAGATCGAGTGCGAGGGGGGAAGAGCGAGAGCGAGGGAGGATGGGAATAGGCGCTTAGGGCCATCATATAGCTAGCCTCCCCTGGCGCTCACCTTGCAGTGCCACTGATGTCATCATCGCCACCATCACCACCGCGAGGACCATCAACACGATAACCAGAATCCCTAGCAGCACCAAGACCACCACCATGATCGCGATCGACAGCATCACCTAGACTTCCAGCGTCACCATCACCGTCGCCATCGTCATCGTCATCGCCACTAGCACCAGCAGTCCCACCCACCAAGATCATAGTCGTCACTGGCATCATCAACATCACCGCCAGCTGGGGCACCACATCTTCACAGGCATCATCTCCATCGAACTATTATCAAGATGGGGGCCATCACTACCACCACTATGACTATCACGATGATGTCACTACCTCCTGGCCACCAACACCACAACACCATCATGTGCAGTGGCATCGACATCGTCATCGTCATCCTCAGTTGCACCATCATCACTCCCACCTGGCACCACCATATATGTATCGCAACCAGCCCCTGGGACATCACCGCGAACACCACCTAGTCAACAGCTAACACCAGTATCATCACGATGACCTCCACTAGTAGCTGGGCATGCAGCATCGCACCAATACCGTCGCCATCACTACCAGCAACATCAATCCCGCCCACCACCTTAGCACTCTTTATCGTCATCATCGTCATCACCGCCATTTGGATCACCACCACTGGCAACAACTCAATTTGGCAGCATGACAAGTGGACCATCACAGCGACCACCATCAATACCATGCGCACATCATTACCACCTGGCCACGAAGTCGACAACACTGACATAACCGTTTAGCATATGTAGTCATCATCGCCAGTACACCACCATCACTGCCACCTGGTCCGCCACCGCCACCATTTGCCAAGACACCCATCATCTGCACTGCAACCCGTCTCTGGGCCATCACCGCCAACGCCATCTGGCCAAACACTTCCGCCACCATCATCATCACGACTACCTGCAGTAGTAGCCGGGCAGACAAAACTGTAACATCGCCACTGTCACCATCGCAAGCATTACCACCCCACCCACCCCGATGATATTTTTGTCATCGTCATCACAACCACCGGGACCATAATCACTACCACCGGCCTCAACTCCACTGGAAGCAGCGCTTCCCACACCTCGGCCGTCACCATCGCCACCATACCTGGCCCAATACCCTCACCATGATAATAATCGCGTTTATGACAATCACGTCTACGACCTGGGCTACCAACACGTCAAACCCGCTGTGACGTTACAATCAATATCATGTGTGCCAGCATTACTACCGTCACCATAGTGATTGCGGTACGAGTTGAGATGATAATGGAAATATTGATGAATGCGGCACGTGTCGTGCCTTCTCGTCTGCTACACTTCTCCGTTTCCTCCTGGTCTGCTATTCTGCTCCCCTGATCCTAATGGTCCTCTATCTTCCTCCTTATCATGGTCCTGAGCCTCATTCTTCCCCTGAGCCTGGCCGTTGTGAACCTTACTCATTCGCCTCCCTTCTCCCAACATTACTCTTGGCGGTTCTACTAATCCTACTCCGCCTTCCTTCTTCTCCTCCTGATCTTCGTCCTCGTCTTCACCCACGTCGTACTCCGTCATCCTTCCCCCCTCCTCAATGATATTCAACATGATCTTTGTACTCTCTCCGAGCCTCGCAGCTTACCCGCCCACCACCATCACCAACACCTCCCAGAGTGCCGTCACCACCACCATCAACATTATTAACATTATCTCTAATACCAGTTGGACCGATTGCATTAGCTTTAATTCTTTACGCTTCGCGTATCCCCACCAGCCCATCTCAATGCAGCAACTCTCGCGAAGCATGCCGACAGTCGTGTTTTTCAGGCGTGTGTCCGCTTGGCCCCGTATATCTCCCCTGTTCCTCCTTCCTCCCGCCTCCTTGTGCATCCTCCTTGTGAGGTGAGGCGTTTGGGCACCTCGTTCGCGTGCGAGGTGTTCGGGCTTTTCGTAGGTGGACTCGTGGTAGTAGTAGTAGTAGTAGTAGTAGTAGTAGTAGTAGTAGTAGTAGTAGTAGTCGTAGTTGTAGTAGTAGTACTAGTA